ACTGGACTACAGTAGGGGTCTCAACCTGAATAGAAGGTAACATGCGAAAACGCACCCAAAGGTGGGCATGAGTACCTAGACCTAACAAGGTACACCTCAACCTACTATAGCCAGCTACGCATCCACTGCATATACACACCCTAACCAACGAGTCTGAGACTCAAGCTCATCTTGTGGTACCATAAACATATATTTAAAATCCATTCATATCCATCAATAGGAAATCCAATAAGTCGTTCAGCTTATTCAGCTGCACAGACTTAAATATAAGGAGAATTATGTTTTTATAATTCGAACCCTTAATCCAAAATAGGTAGGACTGAGTTATTTTGAATCAGTCTGTCCCTAATATGCCACCGTCCCATACCGGTGCATACAATCCTCCATATCCACGTAAATTACAACCTATAAATAATAAGCAAGTAATTTACAGTCCAAAACCAATTATCCATATCATTGCAGAATAGTTTATACAATGCCATAACAATTACAGTTCAAAACCATAATCCAATTAACTGTAGAATAATATATAAGATTCCACAATTAACATCCAACCCATGTAAATTACAACACATAATTAATAGTTTAGCAATTTACAATCCAGAACCATCCCAAATATTTTCAGGAGACTATTTATAGTTTCAGCAATTTAAATCCAAGAGTTAAACCATGTATTTGTAGGAAACGGTTTAAAGGTTCAACAACTAGCATCCAAAGCATACGTAGATCACATCTAATATATCAATGACTCTATCATGCATTACAAATAAGTTTTATAATCATATTATAGTCCAATCAATTCCTAAACTAATCTAGGCAATTTAGTTCTTTTCGTCCGATAACAGCGTACTAAGTTGTATACTCGTATTCTGTTTCATCTTTTAGCACAGTGCCATACATTATGTCACAAGTCCAATTGGTTAATTAAAATACTTCACCGTGCATATAAAATAAGTTTTAATAACTTACTAAATCCCATAACAATTGCTGAAATTTAATTAAGCAATTTATTTCTCTTCCATCCATTAACAGCGTAGAAAATTCCTTAATATTATACTGTTTGTCCCATTGACTTAGAGGTCAACATTAATCAACTTAAGGTCTTAATTACACCCAAAATAAATTTCTTAATACCTCTGTGTAGACCCAGACCCATCCAAACAGTTCCTATGCTCCAATAGTTGTAAACAGATCGTAAAAAAAAAAAAATCAGAAAACCACTATTTGAAAGAGCCTGCTCTAAATTCCAAGAGTAGGCTCTTTTTGAGCCTGGAGCCGGCTCTATAGAATTTAGAGCCGGCTCAATGAGTATGGGAGCCGGCTTCCACATCCATGGAGTCGGCTCTCACCTCCTTTGAGAGCCTATGTCCCCGTTCTGCTCCGTTCTGACTTTCTGCTTCTTCTCCGGCATGTTTCTGCCCTTCAGTTGGTTTCAAAAACTGATCCTAAGGGTTTTATTAATATCCACTAGCATCCCAAAGGTTTGATTTTAACCATTTAAATCAATTACATGGATCAAATTTGCTACCGAACTAGACATGCTTTAGGGACAACACCGAAACTATTTTGCAACCACAGCTCCATTCCAACCCCTCTGTTCCTCAATAATACTGAACCTAAGGTCTTCTATCACCCCATTAACATCCCCATGGTTCGTTTATAGAAGATGGAAGCAAGTACAGTAACAAACATTACAACAGAACTTAATATGCTTTTAAGAACAAAACTGGGAGCAACCATACATGAACTGTAAACAGATTTGAATTTACGGCAAACAGATCATTCATATAACATATATTAAACATATAACTTCCAGTTATTGATTGATTAAACCCTAGAGATCATCTAGGTGCACAGAACACGAGCCAAAGAGAAGGAGAAAGAGAAGAACTTGCCTGTGATTTCAGTTATGAAATCCCGGCGTCGTCTCTAAGTTTCCGGCAACTACTAACTTCCTTCAAGCCTCCTATGGGTGTGATTTAATCCACCACAACTCTCCTTTGACCCTCTCTGTTATTGTCCTTGGTAGCTCTTACAATTGCCTCTGTTCTCTCAACTCTTTTTCTGTTACGTTCTATTTTCCTGTGCCGTGAATAGGGTTCTTCCAAAACCCTTAGTGAAACTCATACATGTATATATATGCGCCTTTAGAAAACCCTAATTAAACTAGAGCTAAGGCAGAACCCTAATTAAACTAGAGTCGGCCCATAAACTTAAGTCATATACACATTAAATACTTGTATGACGGCTCCAAGAAACCCTAACTGAAAACTGTTAATTCAACTTCTACTTAAGCATTTATTAAAGACAATTAAATAATTAACCAAATAAGGAAATACAAATACATAAGTAATAATTTACAAATACTTAAATGAAACAAACAAAATACAAAAATTACAAAATCAATAGACAAAAATGCACATAGAATGAAATTTAAATTCCAATTTTATCCTTTTTAATTTTAGGGGTATTACATAATCCATCCAAACAAGCTCAAGATCTAAGTCACAACTTTAAAAACAAAAGGCCCAACCAAACAGGCCCAAGTCAAATAGACAAAGACTCGTCAAGCAACCTTGAACGACACCTTGTTTGAAAAATTAACTTGGAGTCTATTATCGACGAATTCGAGTTTTTAATAGCTCGCCGAGTACAACTTAGATAGATATTTTGTAATCTTTGATTTCAAATATTTATCTAGATTATGTTATAAAAAAGATTTTGTTTATGAAATTGTGCTATTAAATTTATGTTTAATATTAGCCCCCATTGACAATTCCTGGATTCACCCTTGACTGCAAGAATTCATGCTTTGTTTTATCCTATAAGTGTTTTGCTACAGAACTCCTTAGCAAACTCTCAATTTGAGTGAGATAAATAACACTTTAAGGAAAGTGAATACACGCCTCAAAGTTTGTATTTTTGTTTGGGTTATCACGTTGAAGAAGTTGACATCACTGTTTCATTATCATCATGTTTGAGAAGGTCTGGTTATCTCCAACCAAGCACGGATCTGTGAAGGGCTCAGTGGCGGCATCCACCCCCATTGAATTTTTTTATTATTTCATTTTATATCCTTAAATTTATACTTTTTTGCATTTATATCTATAAAATTTTGAAATTGCCCTCACTAAAATTATAAAAAAAAAACCTTCCATATAAATTTACTCTATATGAATTCCTAGATCCGTCCCTGTCTCAGACATCGTAGACATTAGTTTCTGGGTCAATTATTGCCACAGTCATGGTAAATGAATCATATTAACTCGTTAAAATTAAATGTGTCATGTTCATAGTAGAAAGATTTGTTTAGAGCATGTTTGACAACTGTTTTTTTGTTTTGTATCGCTAAGTGATCAAGAGCTCCATTCATAGAAAGTCGCTCCAAAAGCTTCAGTGGCATATTATAGCAAAGCAAAACAATGAAACGTATTTAGTAACTTTTGCTCTTAAGGGTCATTGTGTGAAGCCATCTTACCAGTTAGGTTAGGAAATTTGTTTCGATTGAATACTACCACATTTGTTGCCAAAAAAAAAGGCTGAAATCATAACTGATTGTTTCCTAATATTTCTGCACCATAACAAAACGCTACAGCATTGAATAGTAACCCAAAAAATAATAATAATAATAATAAAACTGTTGGTGGCCTTTTTTAATTATTTTCTTAATCTTGCAACAATTTTTTTTTTAGTAATAAACGTTTTCATATTTTTACTTAAAAAAAATTTGTAATAAATTTTACGTTACCAATTATACTTTTAATTAATATTGAATACACTATCCATTTTTTTTTATTCCAAATAAAAACAAAAACGCATAATAGAATTAATTGTCAAACATAATTACTAATTATGTCGAAAACATGATGATTGTGTTCGTATTAAAAATTATTCTAATAAAATAAAATTTAAATTAAATTTGATACCAGCAATTTGTATCGTGTGTGTTACTCCCTATTTGGTTAGTGCTCACATCAAAATCACATCAAATGTTTCTTTTGACCTTAATAACGCTATCACTCCGCATAGCTGAATGCTGATAGACACATTTTGGGTGTCCTCATCGCTCCTTCTTCCACGGTAGGTCCTCATCGCACGACCTATGAGCTATGAGCTACACAATTGCGGGACAGCAACAACCAAACGGTTGGAAGACCCGAATAAACCAAACCTTTCTTTATTTAGTTTTTTGTTTGGCGTGTCCCAATCTTAATAAAAATATAGAGACAAAACTAATAAACTCCTCAAAAGATCTCTCTCTTAGCTTTCAAGGGTATCTAATAAACACGAGTAGGGATATTTTTGTAATTTAATTCATTAGAATTTTTTAAAAATTGTAATAAGTTAAAAAAGTCTTTCCATTCAATAGTTAAAAAATATAGACTCCCACTCATGAGAGAACTATTTTGATAAAATAAAATAGCAATCAAACTTTTTTTAGAGCACTATCTTTTCTTTTTTGAAAGGTTCTTAGAGAGGACTATCTCATTAAACTTTATAAAGTTTAATATAAAAATAATTGTCATTTTTAATATGCTCCTGCATAATCGATTCTAATTAGTATTTTCTTCGTTCTAAAATGAAAGACCTGCTTTATGAATTGTGATTAAAAGATAGTCACAATTTTTAAAATAGGACACTTATATTGGGATGAAGATAATAATTAAAAAAAGAAAAGAAAAGAGAGAGACTAATTGTTTTTAATATTCTTGTATATTTTTATTTTAAGGTATTTTGAGTTAATTTTATAATCAGGTTACTTTAACATGCTTCATATGAAGAACATGATGATATTGTAACCATGAGATCGACCACATAGTAGTAATCCCACTCTTTCCCAAATTAAAATACGGAGTATTTAGTATGTAGCATTCGGTTTCTAGTTAGTTATGCTTTGTAGGTACAGCTGAGGCTAATATTGTAAATTCGCCTGCCCTAACAAAATTCCAATGCTATCTGTATCAGTTTCTCAACCCCCTTGCTTTTCATTCTATTTCTATCTCCAGTTGTTTAAAAACTACTCTGTTTGTATAGTATTACAAATAACACTATTCATATCTATATATTATATATATCGCCAGACAAAGACGTTCACATTGCGTTAAGCTTAGATTTTCTCGTCTTCGCAACACCATAGTTCAGGAATCATCTTGCCTTTCTCTCTCTAGATCTCTCTCTCTCCTACTAATCTGTGCCTCTGTTATGGGTAATCTGTAACTACTGCTATATCCTCCTCTCTCTCTTTCTATATATACACACATATATACTTGTGTGAGTATATATGGCAGGGCCTCCCGGAGAGAATCCTTTGCTGGAGATTGGTCGGGAAAATGACGCCGGAGCAATCTTCGTCCTTGAATCGAAAGGTTACCATATCACAATTCACAATCTGTACATTCAATTTTTCTGATAAATATGTGATTTGTATTGAAATGTTATGGAAAATAATAACAGGGCAGTGGTGGCACGCGGGGTTTCATCTGACGACGGCGGTTGTGGGGCCCACAATCCTGACGTTGCCGTACGCATTCAGAGGCCTCGGGTGGGGCCTAGGGTTCTTGTGCTTGACGGCGATGGGAGTTGTCAGCTTCTATTGCTTCTATCTCATGTCTCTGGTTCTCCATCACTGCGAGAAAGAAGGTCGTCGCCACATCCGATTCCGGGAATTCGCCGCCGACGTGTTGGGTAATATCTCACAATTTCCCCTTAAATCTATATATTTTTTATTTTATATTATATTATATTTTTATTTTTATTTTTTAGGATGTTTTGCTAAATTGGGTGGACTTGGTTTTTCTAATTTTTGTGTCTTGGTCTGTGTGATGGGCCGATGGCAAATGAAACCTACCCCACTTTACTGTTTTGGATTTAAAACACAAAAGAGGATATGGTGGGTGACTCGGTTGAAGTGAAGAGCCAGCGATTTTGACTTTTTGAAAAGGAAGTGCTTAGTTGAAGAGCTAGCAATTTTGACTTTTTGAAAAGGAAGTGCTTAGTTGAAGAGCTAGCAATTTTGACTTTTTGAAAACAAAAGAGCCTAGTTGAAGAAGAGTTGGCAATTTTTGACTTTTTAAAAATAAAGTGTAGTGTGTTCCACAATTTTGAGGCAATTAATCAATAGGCTCTAGCTAGGCTAGATGGTATAAGTTCTCTTTGGAGAGGTCGAGTGTTCTAGTACAATGGGGGCAAAAATATACCCTGGGTGGGGTCTGTTTGCTTAAACATTCAATAAATAAATAAAAAACAACAACTATGAGGCAATTTACATTGCCGTGTTTTCGGCTGCTCTTGTAGCTAGCCAAGTTGGTAAAGAGCCTAATGGCTTATGTGATATGTATGGCTTGGTTATGGGACTGATGATGGATATATGAAGGAACTAACCCCTTACTGAAGGGGTTGACACCCTTTGTTTCCCCATAAAAGGAAGAAAGGGCATTATTAGATTTGGATTTGGGGTTTATAGCTCTTGTTGATACATTGATCGTGTTCAACTCCCACCCACATGAAAACGGGTTGGATTGGCGCATTGAGCGACATACTTCCTACTTTATTTATTTTTACTTTTTTGGAGAGTGAGATTACCCAATCGCATATATTGGATGAAACAGGTCCACTTTCGAGGTTAATGAGCCACTTTTCTTAGTGTAATTGTGGACTACAAGAGATTCTCGTGTTCCACTGTTCATTTTCTCTACCAAATCATTGTTTTTGGTTCATGTCATAGTTGCTCAGTAGCATCTTTTGTTTTCCATTGTTGTACTCTCTCTTTCGATATGGGTGTTCCAATACTCAGCTCCGCCATAAGATGCCCCACTGTTTTGTGGGGTTCGGACAAATACTCAAATGCACATTTGCTTGTCAGATCGAAGTTTTATTTCTATTGGTCCATATCCGTCTATATTAATTGTCCATCTCAAAATGGGAATGCTCTGAACTTCCTAAAGTATCATTTTCTTTTGAATTTTAGTGTATCCTAGGACTCTTATGATTACCTTTGGATTTTAATGCATTCACACTTAAAAGGTTCGAATGTCTTAAGTTGGACAAATAATTTCGGAAAGTGGCAGTGTTACACATGTAGAGCTATAACTGGACGCATTAAGCAGTTGAGTATGTTTTGTTTCCACTCTCAACCTCACTGGGGCCATTTCATACTGTTTTGACCTATATTCAGGGAGTTTAGCTAATCTTTTCACAACATTGTTGATTTTCTAGAGTGATTTTTTTAAAATGATCAGTGGGTTTTAAGTTCAATTCTTGTTAGTAGGCAGTATTAAAAATGGATCATAATTTCAGGTGAGATAATGCATTTGCCTATTAAAGAAATTTAGATGCTTGAAAAGAATATAATGCAGCACCCAGTGGGAGGGGAAACTTATATTGTTGTTGCTACTTCCTTCATTGTTTGTAATTTTTCAATTAAAATGATAGCTATTGCTTTCCGCTTCAACAATTAATATGTCTACTAACAAAAAAAAAAAATTATAGTCACATTTCGTCTAGTAGGATCAAAAAGGGAAATATAAAGTTGATTTGATTTCAATGTAAAGTATATTCTTTTGTTTTTCTTACAGGATCTGGATGGATGTTCTACTTTGTGATATTTATCCAAACAGCAGTAAACACCGGTGTTGGAATAGGAGCTATTTTGCTATCAGGAGAATGCCTCCAGGTATAACTATCTTACTGCTTACTGATGTTACATACATTGCTTTTGCTTGAACTTAAAAGTCAGATCGAAGTTATTGATTATTTTTAGGGTAAAGTGCAAAAAACCCCCCTCAACTGTCTAAATTTGCAAATAACCCCCCTGAACTATGTTTTGTGCATAAAACCTCCTAAACTATCACATTGAGTTGCAAAATGCCCCACTGTCTTACCTATTTTTCATTAAATGACCATAATACCCTTTCCTATTGAATTACACTTGATATATTTTTCTTGTTAAAATAAATTATGAAAAAAATTCATATTAATTTGATGAAATATTCTCCATTAAATTTGCATAAGTTTGCCTTTAATTTTTTAAATTAATTATTTAAATAAAAATCTTAAATAGAAAATTTTGAAACAATTTAAATAATTTTTTAATTTTCATGAATATATTGCACTAAAAAGAAGATTTTTTTTTTTTTTTTTACATAATTTATTAATTTTTCATGAATATTGTTTGAAAAAGAAGATATTTTTTTTACTAAATTTTTTAAAGTGAGTATAATAAGTTAATCACTCTAGAAAATGATAGCTGCAAATTTTTTTATTTTTTTTCCATTTATATAATCAATTGATACTAATTATAAAATTAAGGTAAATTGTATAATTAATATTTAAATAAGAGAAAATATAACAAAAAAACAATTTAATAAGAAATGACAAATTTAACAACAAAAGGTAAAATAGTCTTTTGTGATGGGTTTCCTTCATTGCAGCAAATTAATAGTTTAGGAGGGCAATCTTTAGTTCAGGGGGGTTACTTGCAAAAAGCCAATAATTCAGGGGTTTTTTTGTACTTTACCCTTATTTTTATTTGTATTGTAAACCAATTTCTTGATTTTTGATAAGCATTTTCTGGGGAATGGGTTAATAAGCCAATATAATCACTTTAAGGAAAAGTTTTTTTTTATTCTCTTTTATTTTTTACTTCTCTTTTTCTGATCTGAGGATGATGATGTTATGACATAGACTAGTTGCTCAAGTTGGCAGCTACTCCAACAATCTGGTGTATGACTTATAGCGTGACCAAGGCCTGTAACTACTTTTTGTATGAACATATAAACTTCACTTTCTTACATAGGGTATTGGATGAAAATCTGAAAAACGTATATAATTTTATTTACAATTATATCTATGTACACTGAAGCACATGGAATAAGGCGAAGAGTTCTTTGTTTGGATGCATAATGCAAGTTTGAACATACAATTTAAAACTGAGTACGGTCATGGAACATAATCTTGTTTAGAAAATAAATCAAAACATACGAACCTCTTCTTCAGTTGTGTTTACTTGGACAATGCTATTCATTTTGACCCCCAATATGGTTGGAGAAATGATTTATAGGAACTAAGGATGATGCTATAACTCTTTTAAAAACGGTACACTTCACCTCTATCATCTGTTACTATGTTCTTTCAAATTGAGCTGGTTATGTAGCTTCATGAACAAATTTTGATCATCATTAACTAGTATGGAACGATACAGAAAGGAACCATAAGCAATAGTGATTTTTATTTTTTATTTTCCCCGGAATATTCATTAACAAGCTTATAAATCTAAGAATACTCTTGAAAAGGAAATTAATGCAAGAGGTATAGTTTTATAGATGGATCAGTAAACTTGAATTATTATGTTTCCTTCCTGTATTGATATTTTGTGACAGAAACTGATTTTTCTTTTTTGGGATGTGCAAGATCATGTATACGACCATTTCCCCCAATGGGCCATTAAAATTATACGACTTCATAGCAATGGTGACAGTGATAATGATAGTTCTGTCTCAGCTTCCAACCTTCCACTCTCTGAGGCACATCAACATGGTTTCGCTTCTTCTCTGCTTGGGTTACACTTCCCTTGTGGTTAGTGCCTGTATTTATGCAGGTAAACCCTTCTTTCAATCTTCATTTCTGTTCGTTTTTATGTGTTTCTTCAACCTTATTGATAAGGTTAAGAGTAAAATCAGAAAATGCATTCAATGTTCATGTGGATGAAATATTGATAGAGAAGATGATGTATACATCACATAGGACACATTTCTCCTTAATATAACGAAAATCTTTTCTGCAACTCAAGTACATTTGATTTTTGTGGTGATCTTTAATGAATCCCCGCATGTCCTGCAGGTACATCAAACAATGCACCCAAAAAGGACTACTCCTTAGAAACTTCAGACTCAGCAAGGGTTTTCAGCGCCTTCACTTCAATCTCCATTATGGCTTCCATATTTGGGAATGGAATACTACCTGAAATCCAAGTACTTTTGTTCCCTTGCTTTAACTTGTATGCTCAGTTTGGAGTCTAACTGTCAGATTCAAAATTTTTTGCTTTTTCTTAGCTCTACAACAAAACCAAGCAAAGCATCATATATAGAACTAAAGGCCAAATGACATCAAAACCTTTAATGAGTGAACCGGATGTTTAGGATCATTGAGACATGAGCACCTATCTTCATGGCACAATCTCATAATATTGCAGAAACCAAAACTATATTTATTGTGGTAATCGTCTTCAATGGATGATGACATACATCCAACGATAAATTCAAATAATTGTTTTTGATGCATATTTCATGATATGAAATTTTGTGATGCAATCAATACAGGCAACTCTGGCTCCACCAACTACTGGGAAGATGCTTAAAGGCCTTCTTATGTGTTACTCTGTAATTATTGTTACTTTCTACTCCGCTGCAGTTTCTGGATATTGGGCGTTTGGAAACCAATCTGATGGAAACATTCTTAATAGCCTAATGCCTGATGATGTTACTTTGGTGCCAACATGGGTTTTAGCCCTTGCGGTTATTTTTGTTCTCCTTCAACTCTTTGCCATTGGACTGGTAAGCTTACTCATAATAAAGCTATGTAATTTTTTTTTTTCTCTTTCTCTTGGTTCTTTACAATTTCATTTCAACGTAAAAAAAATTTAAATGTTTCTCAAGTTGAACTGAGGTACCTCTTTCAAATACGGCACAGGTTTATTCCCAAGTAGCTTATGAGATCATGGAAAAGAAATCAGCTGATGTGAACCAAGGGATGTTCTCAAAAAGAAACCTAATTCCGAGAATAATTCTCCGATCACTGTACGTGATATTCTGCGGATTCGTTGCAGCTATGCTACCATTCTTTGGAGACATTAATGGGGTGGTAGGAGCTATTGGCTTCATCCCCTTGGATTTCATCCTCCCAATGCTGCTCTACAACATGACTTATAAGCCCTCAAGATCATCGCTCATCTATTGGATCAACATGTCTATAATGATAGTCTTCACTGGTGTAGGACTCTTGGGCTCATTCTCTTCTATTCGACAGTTGGTTCTTGATGCCAGCAAGTTCAAGCTCTTTAGCAGTGAAGTGGTCAATTGACTTCATATTCCCACTATGATGAACTCTCTCGTATGCAGGAGGGACTCATCCCTTGTCCGGAGAAGGGAAACCTTTCTCAATTTGGCGTGCCCACCGGGACTACACAGGTGTAAATAAACACCAGCATGTTGTTTTAGGAAGGACAATGATTTCGGAACATTCAATTGCAATCTTGTACACGAAACACTTAATATTCAGAATTCGGGAAATCAGAGAAGTGCAGAGTTCAGTTGTCTGGTTACTGCAAAACCGCCATTAAGGTGCTTTTTATAAAGATGAAAAATCCGATTAGAGCCGATAAAAAGTTGGTTCTGTGAATGTTTAATTTCTGATCAGTTCCTAAAATAGCCTTAGTCTGTGTTTTTTTTTTAAAACTCTATATAACCAGTGATGTGTGCTACTTCAATCATCTAATGTTTGCATATAGTTTGTGGCTGTACAATGTGAATAGTTTTTGAGTGAATTCTTAACTGATGGGAAGGAGATTTAGCTTATGTCAATAAAGTTTTTTTTTTGAACTATTTGAATCTTTATCGTTTTACCTTTGAAATTGATTTATTATGGTACTAAACTAGCTAAAGCAGCCTTTTCTCTTTCATGATCAGACTTGGGATCCGATCGTGCAAATAGAAGTCCATAATGTTATGATGAGAATACTCATAATGATTGATTATCAGACTAGGTCGGATTGTGCAAATAAAGGTCAATAATATAATGATGAAGTACTCATAACAGAATAACAAATAAATATCATGAGTTGTATCAAATTTCGAGAAATATACCAAAAGGAATTTATTAGTTCTATGGTTCTAGTATAATTTTTTCATGTTTCGGTCTGGGCATAGGTTAAATGTGGGCCTAAGGACGTGTATGAGTTCAAGTGTGACAAAAGTTGACACCATTTACCAACACGATTTGAACACAATACGAGTTAAAAGGGTTTGAGTTGACCTTAAATGAGTTCGAATCATAAATGAGTTGATACGATTACCTCATTTAGTTAATCGTGTCGCGCTTAGGTTGAGGGGTTCACAACCTGGGTAACTAAGGGCGTGGCCAGGAAAAAATATTTTGGGAGGCCAAATGAATTAATACAAAATCAAATTTAAAAAATAAAATAAAATACTTGTAATTTTTTTAGTTAAGAGCATGTGTTTATAGATGATATGAAAAGAAAAATAGAACAAATTAAGAATAGTTGAGGTTTTCAAGTGTCAACTGTATTTTTTTTCTTCTCTCTAATTCATAACAAATAATATATATGTGTGTGTATAAATAAAGCATGTTACAATAAGGATTATCATAATAATGGTTATTATTATTATTATTATTATTTATTATATTTTGAATTTATATGTTTATTAATTTGAAGAGTTATAAGTAATTTCATTCACAAACCATATCTGTAACAACCCAAACTCGAGAGTTCGAATCGCTAACCGGGTTCTTACCCGAACCCAAGGTCGTCTAAGGGCACTATGGTAAGTTCTAAGGCCGATACATAATGTACGTGCCATCCCAAAACTTATACAAAACAAATGAAATCACAAATATAAAAGATAATAAAACAGTCCACTAACCCATTCAAACCTATGGAGGAACGTCATCCGCCACTTCCTTCCCGTGACCTGAAAAATGTTAAAATGATGGGGTGAGCATAAGGCTCAGTAGGAAGCATCTAAAACAAACCTCTTACGACCCCGTGAATCCATACAATAAATAGGATACGAGATAACGAGATCATATCTTGGAAAAAACAAGCACAATAACGATAATAATCTACAAATACGTATGCAAGTCATCTAACCACCAAATATATAATGTATGCCAATGCAATGCCATGCCATGCAATGTCACTTCCAATTTCCAAAACAATACTGTTTCAACTTCCAAACCGTTAGTGTAATCCGACCCAAGGCACCTCCAAGGCGTCACGAATGGAGGGTTAACTAACTATCCACAACCAAAAGGCACCTCCAAGGTGTCGCATCCGACCTAGTTAGCTCAACCATACTCCCTTCTAGACCACACTAACACCACGGACCACTAGGCGCCTTCTTTTCACAAACACTTTCAAAAACGTTTCCCCAAAATAATTTCATTGGTTTTAAAAAAAAAAATACTTTCCCTTTTTTTTTCTATCCCAATGAATGCATGAATACTTCATACTTCACAAATTACCATAATCTTCACATCATCAAACGTTAATAACATTTCATACTAAAGAAAAATTTTCTCATGAATTTATAACATGCTTTAAGTTAACAAAATTTCTACAATTATACATATTAAATAAGGACATAATCACAAAAGCATGCTTTCCATACCCAATCAACAAATTATACACACATATATTATTTACACATAACACATATAGAGATACACATCATATATCTAGCATTATGGCAATTTCTCAATAAAATTTACAATAAATTCCATACATTCCATCTACATCATGATCACATTATTAAGGGAAATTCTAACATTTATTTTCATGATTTCAACATCACTTTTCTTAACAATTAAAAATCATGTATCTTCACCACCAAATATATGATCATAATTATAAGTTTAATTAACGCATATAATACATCCATCAACTTAATTACATACAACCACAACAACATAGACCAAATTGTTAAAATTGAACATGCTTAGAATCAAATTAGAGGGGAAATTCACAAAAGATCAAAGAAAACATGAATTAGAGCACCCTTACCTCCAAAAATGAGAAAATCTCAAAATTGGTCCAAAAATTCGAAATTCTTATAGTGCACTAAATGATGAATTGCTTGTATCAATGAGTAGATCTCGCCGTACTCTTCGATTTGCTGCAAACGGCATCCAAAAATTCCAAGAGATGAAAAAGTAATCAAAGATTGAATTTGGTGGAGAAAAGAAAAAAGAAAAACCAATAATGAGAGAGTGAGAGAATGAATATGAGACTAAACATGTAGGGATGGCAATGGGGCGGGGATCTGATTCCCCATCCCCATTCCCGGTCAAATTTTTTACCCTCGTCCCCGCCCCCATACCCGTTTAAATTTTAACCCCTTCCCCCGTCCTCGCCCCACATAACATTTTTAAAATTCCAATTCACTTTCAACAAAATCAACACAATTATAATATTTTTTATCCTAATAATTTAATAAAGCTTCAACACAATTATAACAATTTAAAACATATTATTTCAACCCAATCAAACTTATGGTAAAACCACATATAATATTTTTTGGAATAGTCTAGAAATTTTCAACATGATCAATCAAAACAAATAACATTCTTCCAACAACGACTATACTGCGAGGGAATAGATCTAGGGTTTTAGAAGTGAATATATATATTTTATATATATATATATATAGTTATGTAACTTATTAATATTTTATAACATGTAAGGGCAGTTTTGCAAAACATTATAAACGGGGCGGGGAGGGGCAGGGTTACCCTCCCCGGCCCCGCCCTGTCCCATGCCGGGGTTTCAAATGCAATCCCCATCCCCTCCCCATTTACATAAATAGGTCCCCAAACCCGACATTACAGGGGTGGGGTGGGGTGGGGTGGGGCGGGGACCCACCAGGTATGGAGATTTTGCCATCCCTACAAACATGGTCTCATGACCACTAAAATGGGTGATGGTGGGCCCCCTTCAAAAAGTTAAAATATTTTCTTTTCTTTTTTAAGGCAAGATTTAATTTTTATATAAAAAATCACCATTGGTAACTATAATAATGTTTTTTTTTTTGTTTTTTTTTTATTTTTTTTTTTAATTTTGAATTTTTTGAAGCAAGATGTTTTTTCGAATTTGAAACATTCAATAATCATTAGGTAAACCATAAATAGAGTTTTTTCTTTTTTTAGAATTTGGGAGAGACAAGCTTTAATTTTTATATAAAAATCACCGTTTGAAGAACCAAATGACCAACTTAAAAAATTTTGGGGGGGGGGGGGGGGGGGGGTAGGGGGGTGCGGAGGGGGGAATTTAATTTTTATATAGAAAAATGACTATATATATATATATATATATATATATAGTAACTGGTACTAATAAATACACGTTTAATTATATATATAAACGTGTCTTATAATTTAATCTTTTGTAAACTATAATCTATTCAGTAATTTGGTTGATTAAAACTTATATATTTTTTTTTTAGTATTTATTATTTTATTGAGTATTATTAATAATTTAAATAATATAAAATTTTTTTTTTTTTGATAAATAGGTCATTAAACGAGTTACACATGTAACCTGTTTAATAAACAGGTCGGATTCGTATTGAGAGTTCTTGACAAGATTATTAAACGGGTTGTATTTCGATTGAATTATTTAATATAATACCCTTAAGTTGAAACAACACAAAACACGAATTGTCACCCCTATACGAGTTGTGCTTCAACGTTTTCCTACTTAGATTAATTACGGTAGAAAAGTTAATTTTTACAAAATTTAAAAAAAGACAAATGTCTTAGTTAATGAGATACTATCAAACTTTTAAGATGAATGACTAATCAAAACTCATGTTTGCCTTTTTTTTTAATAAAAAATGAAAGATGATATTGCACTCCAAAAAAGTCACGCCCCCACTTCTATTATTCTTTGATAAAGCAAATGACAAATACAACCCTAAACTTCTCATTTAACATGAAATTTCGTGATTTCAAATAATATATATAACTGCATAATGTAATATTACATGCCTTTTGAATTTTCTATTGGCCCTAAATTTATTTGTGTTTCTTTCTTTTGTCATCTTCAACGTCTCTTCTATATATCCTAATTGATAGGACGGAGATGCTTATTTAGATTAATTCAATGTCAGTATTTTTAGAAAGATAAAAGTGATTCAGGTAAAAATAGATAGAATACGAAAGCAAGTTAAGAGGCAAAGAGTAGAAGAGATAACATAGAAATGTATAGTTGAAGATTATTTTATTTATTAAGAAATATGAGTGGAGTCCTCAATTAGAGTGTAAATGACAATCAGTGATTCTTATTAATTGTTGTCTTGATCCAATAATAAATATACACGTCAAAATATAATTGTAAAATTAAGAAAGTAACAAATAGGAAAAATAAATAGAATGATTGAATTTATTTTCAATGAATTTGTTTTTTTATTTATTAATTTGAAATGACAAATAATGAGAGGGTGGATTTTTTTTTTTTTAAAAAAAATTATTTTTGTAATTTATTACCTTCCTAATTTGAAACTACAACTGCAAATAAGATCTTCCTTTTATAATATCTCATTAAATTTCAACTATCCAGTTTTATTTAATAGAAATTTTTTGATTGAATAGTCAAATTCTAAGTCACATAAAGCGGAATGAGAGTAAGAGTAAATTCGAGAAGAAGAGTATGAGAGTGGCAGAATTAAGTCATAATAGTGATAATTTGAGCAATAGTCTCAGAACGCGAGAACGAATCCTGTTAAAAAGAATTATGTGACTTGGGTCAGATTCACAGTGACCAATGACCGACCACCCACCGTTACACACGTTTATTACGAGTGTTCCCACGGTTCAAATTATAGATGCTTTTTTCATCTAACAACATGGACGAAGCTATTAATCTCTGTATATTATAATTATTTACACACACATATGCACATATAGAGCGTGTATATATAGACACTAGGCACTAGGAAAAACTCATTTTTCTTAGTATCTTCTGCAAACAACTCCTAACTCCGCAATGGAACCTACCCAACAAACACACCACATAGCCATTCTACCCACACCCGGGATGGGTCACCTCATCCCACTCACTGAGTTCGCCAAGCGACTCGTCCTCCACCACCACTTCTCCGTCACCTTCTTCGTCCCCACCGACAATTCGCCAATGAAGTCCCAAAAGGCCGTTCTCGAATCCCTACCCAGCTCCATAAACTACATCTTCCTCCCGCCGGCGAGCTTCGACGACCTCCCCGACGGCGACCGGATCGAAACCCGTATCTCACTCAGCGTGACTCGGTCACTCCCGGCTCTCCGCGACTCGTTCAAGTCCTTGACCGAGTCAACTCGTCTGTCCGCCCTGGTCGTTGATCTTTTCGGTACGGACGCGTTTGACGTGGCGAAGGAATTCGGTGTTCCGCACTACATTTTCTTCCCTACAACCGCGATGCTACTGTCGTTGATCTTCTACTTACCCAAGCTTGATCAGTCGACTGATTGCGAGTACAGAGATCTAACAGAACCGGTGAAATTACCCGGGTGTGTTCCGATTCATGTTGTTGACCTGATAGACCCGCTTCAAGATAGAAAGAACAGTGCCTACAAGTGGACTCTTCACCATGCCAAAAGGTACTTGTCATGGTCTTCGTTATGATTCTTATATATTTTTTTTGCCAAAATTCTCTACTGTCGTTCTCACGATGTTGACGCATTCTCACTATTATTATAGGTGACTTAGTTTTACTGCTCTTGCCCTCATTCTACTTCAATTAGTTTGACTGTTCTCACTCTCGTATTCACTTTTACTCCTTTTGTATTTAGGTGTACACCGTGTGTATATTTATGTATATATATATATATATATATTTTTTTTTTTCAATTATTTCCTCTATCCTAAAATAAATTCACTCTGGCTACTTCTGTACTTAGGTGCATTCCGCGTGTGTATTTTTATATATATATTTCAATTATAAAATGGTAATTTACTTTTCAAAACTATCCTCAATTTTTTTCAAAGCTTACCCTAATATTACTTTAAATGACTACAAACCCAATAATTTTGATACGAAAGACGTATATATTATGTCTCTTACAATATTTAATTTTTTAAAATTACTTTTGATTACTCCATCCCAACAGGTATGTTATGGCTCATGGAATTATGGTGAATAGCTTCATGGACTTGGAACCGGGTTCATTTAAGGCTTTGAGGGAAGATTGGCCGGGTATGCCGCCGGTTTATCCGGTTGGACCGCTGGTTCAGGCCGGTTCAGACCGGGTTGATGGGTGTGAGTGCTTGGAGTGGTTGGATCAGCAGCCTAAAGGGTCAGTCCTATTTGTGTCATTTGGGAGTGGTGGCACATTGTCCCATGAACAGCTAAAAGAATTGGCATTTGGATTGGAGATGAGTCAGCAAAGGTTTGTTTGGGTTGTCAGAAGCCCACATGAAGAGGCTTCATATGCCACTTACTTCACTGCCCAAACCATTAAGGACCCTTTTGATTATTTACCAAAAGGGTTCATGGATAGGACCAGAGGGTTGGGTCTAGTGGTCCCATCATGGGCACCTCAGGTTCAGGTCCTGAGCCATGGTTCCACTGGAGGGTTCTTGACCCATTGTGGGTGGAACTCAATCTTGGAGGGTATAGCCTATGGGGTGCCCTTAATTGCTTGGCCACTCTATGCAGAGCAGAGGATGAATGCGGTGTTACTTACCGATTATCTGAAGGTCGCGTTGCGGGTTCGGATGAATGAGAATGGCATAGTGGGAAGAGAGGCCATTGCGAAGTATGTAAAAGGGCTAATTGAAGGAGAAGAAGGGTTGGTGATTAGAAAAAGGATGAGAGATCTAAAAGATGCAGCTGCAATGGCTTTGAGCCAAGATGGGTCGTCAACGAAGTCACTCGCCGAGGTGGCTCAGATGTGGAGTAACCAGGAATACTAATACATCCACGTAGTTTGGACTAGAACTCTCTCCCTCCTTTCTGTTTCAATGTCATAAATGAAAAAATAGTGTACCAAGTATCTTTATTACCCTGGTTAATGAATACCCGTTATTTTCAACATAAAATACTCTTTCTGTCTTAAAAAAAAATGTTAAGTCTTGTTTTTTAATCCGTCTCAATAAAATAGTTCTTTTTTTTTTTTTTTAAATAATATATTTTACATCTTTTTATATATGTCTTTAGAGTTTAAAATTTCATACATATTTAAAAAAAAAAAATTTAATAACTTTTTATGGAGACAAAACTAAGTTCCATATATTCTCTTAAAAAATTTTATCCCAAAAACGAATATCTAAATTGGACAGAGGGAGTTGTTAGTTACCGGATGATTAGTCTCAACTTTTGATCCTAATTAAGCTAGCTAGCTGTACTAGTGTGGTACTCGGGTCAATCTTTGACTCATTTAAAACTGATAAAGTCTAATCATGTAGCAGTAAAAGAAGAAATGTACGTTGTTGGTTCGGAATAGATATTTTGTATGCGTGGCTTACACTCCCTTGTGTCTTGTTTGGATTTTTTTAAATCGAAGAGCATAGCTTTGTTCTATTTTAGATCACTAGAATATAATGCTGCTTTTCAATCAGAGGTGGAGCCAGAATTTCATTCCAAGGGGGCATAGTGTATTTGATAGGAAAAAAAAAATCAACGACAAAAATAAAATTTTCACATCAAAAGACAAACAAGACAAAAAAAAAAAAAAAAAAAAAAAAAGAAAAAAAAGAAAAGAAAACAAAGCAAAGTCACTATTTTTAAAGGATTAGTATCTATAATTAAAAAAAAGAAAAAGAAGAAGAGCAAAGTCACTATTTTCAAAAGACAAAAAAAGAATTACCTGACAAGATGAGATACTGGATGAACTAGGAATTCAGGAGCCATTCCAAAGCAATTATACCCACTCTCTGAGTCTCCAAGCGCATAGTGAATCTTGACAACCAAAGCAAACAAGATTGTATTTTATTATTTTTATCTTAAACTAAGGTGGAAACTAAATGTTCTTCAATAATGTTAATTGAAAATACCCATAAAAGAATTTATTTGTTTATCTAAAGAACTAAACAGGTAACAAGTTAAATAAAAAAAACTAAAGAATAATACTTGACACATATAAGATCCAAAATATTACTTGATAATATTTCATTGAATACAATTACTACTGCCCTCGATGGCTTTTCATATTTTGAAAGCATTAAATGATAGCCTCATTATCTATGCCCCTAAATATTTCTTTTTCAATATACACAACCAAACTATCATTCATAAATTGATCTCCCATCCGATTATGTAATTCATTCTTTACAATATTCATAACAGAAAATGCCCTCTCCATCGTGGCAATCGCAATTGGTAAGATTAATGCCAATATCACAAGTAGATACACCAATGGATACACCTTGTCTTTTTTTTGTTTCAACCATTTTTTTTGCAAGAGCGGAAATCCCTTTCAATCCTTTAAACCTGATATTAGAGCGCACATCAAGAATATAAGTTTCAAGTTGACCACTAAGTTTTATGAGTTTAGCCACAGAAAATTCTTTTGGATAGTATTCAGCAAAACGAATGATCTTTTGCTTGTCAAAAGCAAAGAATGCATCATCTGGATATAGACATGCCACACAAAGAAGTAACTCAGTATTGGCCTCATTGAAACAATTATTTAGCTCCTGAAGTTACATATCTATGACAAAATAAAACAAATCAACACGATAGTAATGCAAGTTTGTCATTTCTTGCACATTTCGTCGTTGTCGTCCTTAAGTAATGAACATATCATCCATGTTGGGAACATCAATCTCATGTCTCTCACAAAAGGAAGAAACTTCATCAAGCAAAGAATCCCATCCATCATCCCTCATCATTTGTAGTCGTTGCTTGCATACTTTAACAAGGTCCATGGCATTCACGATATCTTGATCTTTTCTTTGTAGTGCTTTGGATAATTCATTTGTCATGCCCAACAATGTCTTCATCAAATGGAGATTGAATACAAAATTAAAGGATTGTATTGATCCAAGTAGAATATATGCTTCGCCTCTTTGATCAGATTTCAATCCATCCTTTTTGATAAACTCAAGAACAACAATTACAGATGAGAACAATGTAATCAAGCTAATTAAAGTACCATAATGTGAGCCCCAACGGGTGTCTCCTGTACGTACAAGAGAAGTACTCTGATTTAGGCCTTACCCACTTGTGAGCTCGCCTTTGTTAAGTCCATCAATAACTTCAACAATTTGTTTCTCGCAAAGCATATTACGACGTTTACATGAGGCTCCAACTACATTCACCACATTAGCAACAAATACGAAAAAAGTGGAAATCTGGCCATGATTCTTTGCCACAGCAATAAGAGCCAACTGAAGTTGGTGAGCAAAATAATGAACATAAAAAGCAAATTCATTCTCTTTCAGAATAAGCGTTTTGAGACCGTTGAACTCACCTTGCATATTGCTAGCCCCATCATAACCTTGCCCACGCAATCTAGAAATGCTCAATCCATGTGTAGAAAATACATTATTAATCGCCATCTTGAGTGAGAGAGCAGTTGTATCGGTAACATGTACCATACCAATAAAACGTTCAATGACACTTCCATTCTTCACGTAACGTAACACAACAGTCATTTGTTCCTTTATCGATACATCACGAGACTCATCAATTAAAATAGAAAAAAATCCATCTCCAATATCTCTAATAATAAAATTGACAACCTCTGTTACAATGGCATTTACAATCTCTTTTTGAATCTCAGGTGATGTTAACTTCAAATTTTCAGGAGCATTTTTCAATGCAACGGCTCTAACATCCTCATTGTGACGAGTATGAAATCTCAAAAGTGTGAGGAAGTTCCCTTGATTGTTTGAATCTTCAGATTCATTGTGGCCACGAAAGGCAAGTCCTTGGTGTAAAAGATATCGAATACATTCAATTGATGCAGTCAAACGAGTCCGATATTCATTTCTAGATTGGTGCGATTGCCTGCATAAAATTGTTTGAATGTGTTGTTTTTGGTTCACGAAAGCTTCACATGATCTCCAAGCTTGGTTGTGGGCACCATTGGGACCTCCAACATGAGTTTGAAAATTTTCTTTCTTCTTCCAATTTGAAAACCCCTCACCCATAAAAGATTCACATCCTGCTTGTTCTCCAATATCCGGCTTAAAAAGATAACAACATAGGCAAAATGTTACATCTTTGGTTATACTATATTCTAGCCAATTAGAATATTAACTAAACCAAGTAGGGTTAAAACGGCGTGATGCTTTCCCAAAACTCATATAGGGAAAACGATGAGTATTGGGTTAACAAGGACCCTTAAGATAATATGCTTTACGAATGTCATCTCGAATATTAGGATGGTAATCCAAGATTCGAGTTCGTAATCCTGGATCCGCTAGAAGATTTTCCAAGTTGATGTCGGAACGACTTTGCTTCAATATTTGATCATCATCTCTCTCTATAGGAGGTGGCTGAGGTGCCAATCCTGATTTTCTTTTATAATATTTCTCCATAACTGTTTAAAATAATTAAAAAAAAAATGCTTATTTACATATAATAATTAAGATGGACATTTCAATCTTATTAATTTTATTTAAATTACTCAATCTTTTCATTTAGAATGCATTAGGAAAGATTGGAAAGTAAGTGCTAACTAGTAACTACACAATAAAAATTTAAAAAAAAAATGCCCAATTTAAGTGACAATGATTTAACCCAACCTTAATATCATGATTAAAATTAGAAAATTTAAAAAAATCCAAAAAACATAATAAATAAAAAATAAAAAACTCCCAACCACTATAACAATCTTCTGCAAATTTAACAAATTACCATACAGGAAAATCATTGAATGAATAGCAAGCAAGGGGTGTGGGCATTGACTTGTTACGTTTAGAGTTTTGACCAGAAATAGGATTTAGTGTCGATGTCAGGATGTAGAGAAAAAGATTTAATTTGATATGTAAAAAGCAGTGGAGTCATATAATTCACATATGAGGTTAAAAATTGCTCTCATTCATTTCCATTTAAGTTTGTGTATATATGTGTGTGAATATTGGTATCACATACGGACATACCAATTCTCATACACATGTCCAGTGCCCACTAATCACTATTGACACATTGGGGATTTGAATCCTATGCTGCTATGCACATTAGACATTTAAAGTGGCGATCAAGCTAATACATGGTATTATTGTTGTCAATCAATTAATAAAGACTTACCAATCAAAGATGTGATAGAAAAGAAGGTTAGAGATCTTTAAAAAAAAAAAAAAAAAAGAGAGAGAGAGAGAGAGAGAGAAAATTATAATTTAGTCAAGAAAGAAAATCAAAGCTAGTCTCGCATCGAAATCTTATGTAGGAGGAGAAGAAGCACATTGATTGCATCCCATGGATTTGAGTAAAACTGTAAAAGTATAGAAAAATATTTGAAAATTTAATAAAGGGTTGTGCTGCATAACAAAATTAAAAAATTAACTTATAATTAGTCAATTTATCTATCATATTCATCAAACAAGTAAGATAAAAAATAAAATAAATGTGAATCTGATTCATGTAAAAAATAAAAATAAATAAAAAACTAGGGTTTCGGGTTTACCTGCAAATCAAACGGTGAATCAACATTCAACAGCAAAACAAATTGGGTATCCTTCCTTCTAATTCCAATTCTGTCGCAAACGATGAAGATTTAAAACCTGAGCATAATCAGCATAACCATGGTGACGGCGTGACTCTTGAGTCCAAGCTTCTGCTTTTCGTATCTCACTTTTGTGCAAAGAAACTAAAAAGTCAAAGAAAGTGAAGTTTTGTTTGGAGTCTTTGGGCTTTATTTGGTTACACAGTACTTTCTGCTTTATCACTATATTTGGTACTTTGTTAGGGCTTTATTTGGTAGTATGTAGGTGAATAACTTAAATTGGCTTGATTCACTAAAGTATTACTAATATATGAGGGCAAAAAAAAAATTTCAGGGGGGGCATTTTTGGACTTTTATAAAAATATACATATATTATTTAAAAGAAAAAGAAAAAGAAGAAGTCGCCGGGGGGGTAGAGGGGTTGCATTTTTGGACTTTTATAAAAATATACATATACTATTAAAAAGAAAAAGAAAAAGAAGAAGTCGCCGCCGGGGGGGGGGGGGGGGGGGTGCCCACCACCCTTGTTTCCAACTACTCCATGGATGTAATAAAATAAAAAAAAATAAAAAAAATCAAACCTTTTGGAGTAACTAAACTGCAACTAGTAGATATAAATTAAAAAGTAGGATTAATTACAACGACACATTTTGAGGTTTGCAGTATTGACAAGCATATATAAATTAGTCTTTTTCTAGACAATGAGACCCCCTAAATTTACAAACTTGAATAATGACACCACATTTTAAAAAATGGAGCCTAACACAGCCTTAAGTAACATGAAATGTCAAATATGCCCTAAAATATATTTTAAGTTTTGAAATTGGTGGAGGTTATATATACATATATGTAACAGTTGTTATCAAAGTTTAGGGGTTGATCTTTCCTGGGCTGCTGATCCCCATTCTAGATGAATGGTGGAGTAGAGGAAGAGTAGAGAGTATGCGCTGATAATCGAAACCCCAATTCCGAAATATGGGGCTTTTGTAATGGAAGACCAAATCAAGCTTTACACATCGTTCTTCGCTGTTAACCGGTGAAACGAAGGGTTATAAATTTACAAATTATATATATACAAACACAGACATATATATATATATATATATATATATATATATATATATACATACACACACACACACACACAAGCACAACACCACCACTAACACCGGCGAGGATTTCGGCGCAAGAGACGGTGGCGCATCAGACGAAGGAAACGACGGCGGGGTAGGCAAGCCAACATGGTGATGAACACCCGGGCAGCGACGACGATGATATCGGTATAGGAGATGACGGCAGGGCAGGCGAGATCGAGGGCAGTCTTGGCGCAGACGAAGACAGTGAAGGTGTTGCCGGGGAGGGAAAGGCTGATGTCGGACCGGCGAGGAACCAAAGCTTTTTGAAATTGGTGGTATGTTGGTGAGGTTTTTTAGAGAGAGAAAAGGGAAATTCTGAAATTTGTCGTCTCCCATCATTGTCCGAGTTGGACTCAGTGGTTGTAGAGGTTAGAGTTGCCACCTCCATTGGCGGCACACCAACATAGCCACCGTCACTATACTGCCACCTTCACCAACCCCTCTCTCTATCCTCTCATCTTCACAGCTCTGCCACACCCACACCCACCACCACCACTTTACAGCCCCGCCAACACCATATCACAGCCCTGCCACACCCACGACCACCAAATCACAGCCCCGCCACCACTTCATGGCCCTGCCACACCCGTCACCACCACTTTACAGATTTTTTTGGATTTTTGAGATAGAGAACAAATTTTTTTTAGGCTTTTTAGAGCAGAGGGTAGAGAGAGAAACCTATGATTTAAAAAGGGTAATTCTGTCATATATATATATTTGATATTTTAGATTAAAAAATTGGTATTTTATTGAAGGGCAATCTCGTCTTTTCACAACTTTTAAGAGCTTGTTTGGATTAAATTTCTGACAGGGTGTGTGAGTGTTCAAAAAATGGTTAACTTATATATACTTGTCAATACCCCAAACCTCAGGGAGTGTCGTTGTAATTAACCCTAAAAAATATATGTTAAAAACATACCATACAAAAAATTACGTGGTTCCACGTGAAGCTTACATTCATATGAAAATCCAAAGAAAAAAAAAATTATTTTTTATGCTAAAACAGGATATTACAATTTCAGCCCTCAAATTCTTTCTTTCTTGCCTTTTCAAACTGCATGTTGCAGTGTTATTTCATTTTACACGTCGAACCCTAATATAATAGGAGTGCATTGATCTAGAGAGTTGAATATTCTATCAACTAGTCACTAGTAACACTAAATATGCCAAGAAAATTAATAATTGCAAGATTTATTTATTTTTATTTTTATTTTTTTAGCATTGCAAAGGCACAGTCATAACGGTGTTATAGAGGCAAAAAAGGCAACCTAGAAAAAGGTATACAAATCTTGAAGTAAAACAATAAAAATAAAGAATAAGTTCCAAATTTGTAAAGAAATAAGAGTCAAAGTTTTACAATGGAAACCACCAAAAGAGAAGAACAGTAACAAAAGTGAACCAATGATCTAGCCATCGTCAAGGCAATAATTTCAAAGTTACAGCCACAAGCAGCATCGACAGGGGAAAGACCATCCCAAACCCTGCATAAAATTAAATCAGGGGAAAAAGATCAGAATAAATCAAAAGACTAGTGTTCACTTCCTGCGTCGGCAGAGTACTATCTAGCATCACACAGTAACTTGTATTCTCAGTTTCACACACACAACCGAAGAATCTATCCTGAAGTCAAGTTCACATTGACTTATCCCATTAAAATCTTCGATGACCAATCACTTCTCAAGGCAGTGCAATTAATCATCGGGCTAAGAATCCTGAAATCTGACCCACGTGAGCTACGTGCTTGTGGGTCATATACAGAGCCTCGAAAGTTACTTTATTTCATGTAAAATAGACAAACAATAGTAGACAAATGAAAGGCAATCTAACCCACTTGCCTCCATTTCCATATCATAAAGTCACTTCTGTACCAAATATCTGGGAAAAATATAAGAAAAGCGAGAAAAAAAAAACAGTCCATATATTTATTCTTTTCTATTTTCTTGTGCTTCTACTATTTCTTTTTTGTTAACCAATTTTGTGCCTTTTCATTTAATATTAGACGAATTCAATAAAGTTCTCTCCATTGACTTGTAACGATTTGTATTAAATTTAAACGGTCTCCAAATTGAAATTATTTTCCTCATTATTTTTAAGATTTTGTGGTTGGTTGTGTTTTCGAGTACTCCAAGTTCTTTTATTTTCCTCATTATCTAAAGCTGCTTGTTTAATTAAGTCAAAAGTGAACATCTTTTAACTCCGTTGAAGTTTGAAAATGACCTAGTGATACGAGTAATGTTATTGTGCTTTTAATTTGAGTCTACAAATGACTAGTGTTCAACACAAACTATGTGAAAAGGTGAAACCTTCGTACCTTTACAAGATTTTCTTTTTTTGGAGAGATTTTCTTTTTAACTTTTTTTGGTCACCCTTTTTGGGATAGCGTCATTTCAATCAAATACTTATTTTTTTCTCTCATTTATTCCAAATCAACCAAACAGCTAATCTGGAGCTTCATCGGAGTACGTAGTGCACTATCGCCGGAAAAGCCAAGGGGTCAACAGGCCAGGTTTTACTACAATTACTTGAAATGCGTTTGGATAACATCCTTTTTCGATTGGGCATGGCTTCGACTATTCCGGGAGCCCGCCAATTAGTTAACCATAGACATATTTTAGTTAATGGTCGTATAGTAGATATACCAAGTTATCGCTGTAAACCCCAAGATATTATTACGGCGAGGGATGAACAAAAATCCAGAGCTCTGATTCAAAATTCTCTCGAGTCATCCCCTCATGAGGAATTGCCGAAACATTTGACTGTTCACCCATTCCAATATAAAGGATTTTCCTCATTATTTTTAAGATTTTGTGGTTGGTTGTGTTTTCGAGTACTCCAAGTTCTTTTATTTTCCTCATTATCTAAAGCTGCTTGTTTAATTAAGTCAAAAGTGAACATCTTTTAACTCCGTTGAAGTTTGAAAATGACCTAGTGATACGAGTAATGTTATTGTGCTTTTAATTTGAGTCTACAAATGACTAGTGTTCAACACAAACTATGTGAAAAGGTGAAACCTTCGTACCTTTACAAGATTTTCTTTTTTTGGAGAGATTTTCTTTTTAACTTTTTTTGGTCACCCTTTTTGGGATAGCGTCATTTCAATCAAATACTTATTTTTTTCTCTCATTTATTCCAAATCAACCAAACAGCTAATCTGGAGCTTCATCGGAGTACGTAGTGCACTAACACCCTCTATTAACGAAGATCGTTAAGGTAGGTTATTAGTTTTGTATAGGCTTCTCTCTTGTTGGCCCTTTTTGGGCTTATATGCTCAGTCCAATACTGTTTGGCCTAATGGCCCTTCTTGTAAATATTCTCCATTTTTCATATATATATATATATATATATATATATATATATTAGTAGCTTGAAAATCCATAAAAAAAAAAAAAAGAAAAAGAAAAACCAAACAGTCCATTGCTTTCTAACCACATATACAAGTTATTTAACATGCACAACTTAATACTATAGTTAGAGGTGGTTTTCTAAAAATTAAGCTAGCTTAGAGAGTTTGACTCGAATTATTTTTGAGTTTTGACTAACATGTATATTTAGCAATGAAAGTTATTTTCTAGGGGAAATGGCACTTATAATAATTATTAATTAGAATAATTACGATTACTTTGATCTCTCGTAAATTGTCTAAATAATAGAAACCTCTTATCTAGTTTCAAATATAATAATGACCTCTTCTTCCGTTTAAGTCTAAGTAACACTCACCTCCCATGTCATAAAATTTAAAACTCTTGTTTGACATCATGCTCAAAGTTTATTTTAAACTTGATAATATCATTAAAAAGTATGAAAATACTATTCTGTTCATAAAGAAACATATATTTTATATTAAAAACACAATAAAAGTATAATGGAATTAATAGTCATTTAACGCATTCGCGGGTCTAGGGGATGTCAGTGTTATATATTTAAAATTATAAGGAAGATTTTTGTAATTTATACAATTTATGGGGAAGTAAAAGTAATTATTTCTAATTAATTTGTACAAGCCATTAACCACAAATCATAATGAAGTGTTTCACATAATTTCCGCGGGAAAGTTCCAGCTGCAGTTTTATTGGACCCATCTAGGGGTACAATGGTAATATCACATTGCAACGATGACCATCTGTGACAAAACCTTAAACCCTAACAAAAGGACTTAAAATTTCCTTTCTTTGGACACACTAGAACAGTTCGTTCCTCAGAGCACAGAGAGGATATCGAAATCAAAGCTTAACTATATATAAAATTATATGTAGACGCACACATATATATACGTACAGATATATATATATATATATATATATCGAAAGAGAGATGGATAAGTCTGTGGCGACGCTTGATAAAGGCACAATCTGCTCTTCCTGGAACTACTGTGGCCAGAGATTGGCTACTGGATCGGTCGATGGAACCTTGGCCATTTTCGATTCCATTGATCCAGCTTCTTCATCATTCACCTGCACTTCTAGATCTAGGGTTCGTAAGTAGTATCTCTGATTCATTTATATTATTTTTCCTTGTGGAATTCGTAGTTTTTTTTTTTAAGTCTTTTTTTCCCCTTTCAATTGCCTTTGAGTGGATAAATAACCGTCTTAATTCTAGTAGTAGTTTCAACCTATGAAAGATTACACTTCCATTAGACTAAATTGGTGATTGGTGACTATAAGTGAAATTGTGTAAATTGGAGAATTGGTAATATTGCAACTAAGTGAAAATGAATTTTTAGAAAAATAAATTTAATGTTATCGTGTTGGACTTGGGTTTTTGCTGGAGTTGTTAATATGTACGTGATTGAAGTTTCTATGAAAACCTAGTATAGACTTTGTCATGCAATTTACGATTTTGTTAAACAGAAGTGGACCTTTTATGGTTGATTTAATGCATTTTGGACAAGGGCATTGGGTAGGAAAGCATTCGATATGCCAGTTATTGATGAGGAGAAATATGCTACATAAGTGGGTAATTTGGTGTGAGTGTTTCACAATTTTGCTATATGTGCTGTCGAATAATTTGTGTGTAATGAAGGATGGCAAGGAAAGAAGAGTCTAACTACCGGGCAATTTAGTCAAACAAAAGCTTTTGGTAATCAGTTTTTCTTGGCAATCTATTGCTTTCTTTGTATACCCAGTTAAAACTCGTGAAATCAAAATGATCAAGGGTTATTGGGCAGTGCTAATATAGTGGTTTCTATAATGTGATTTTGTGAAGGCATCGTTGCATCCAAGCGATAGCTTGTGGTGAATATTATTTTGGTAGAGTTTTATTAGATAGCTTGTATGCACTTCATTGAGTGGTGGGAGGATATGTTAAATTCATGCAAAATTCTGAGTTTCTCTTGCCTGTTATTGGTCAGTTTTGAATTGTTTTTTTCACTGGTTCTAAATTTTTGGCTAAAGAAACCAAGAGGTTTATATTTTGTTGGGAATTTTTTTTCTTGCTCTTCCCCCAAATGCATGGGAAACAAACAGATCCTAAATTTTGCCCTTGTCATGTTTTTTTTTTTTGTGATTTCTAGAATTCTATGTTTTTTATTCCTAGTTGATTTCTAGAATATTATTTTCCATGCATTCTTAAATTGATCTTCTTTTAGGTTCACAACGCCAGCATTGTGAAAGTTGTTTGGATTCCTCCAGAATATGGGGATGCAGTTGCATGCATTTGTGCGGATGGAACTTTATCGTTGTGGGAGGAAATTGCTGAAGGTATAATAAGAATGAGTTTGCTCTCGTCTTTGCTATTCTGAAAGTTATTGATGTCACCAAGTTGCTCCTAATCTAAAAAATTAGGAAGAGTTGTGACTTTGGACATTATTTTTTATGACAATGTGAAATTGCCTCATTATTGTCTTTTTTATTTCATCATTCTCTAGATACAAAACCTTTTCAATGGAAACTGTGCAAATTATTTGAGAGACATGCAAATCAAGTGTTAGATATCCAATTTGGAGTTTGTGTCACAAGTTTGAAACTGGTGAGTTTTGGTAGTTTTTTCTGTTTCAATATCTCCTTTACTACATTTTATTCTTTAATTTTCTAAAGGTGATTGGCAAATGTCTGCAGTGGTTGCTATATATCGCCATTTTGCTCAATCATTCTGATGCAATAGAATTGCAGTCTTTTTAATTGTTCTTACATGGTAAAGTGGATGGTCTATGCCTGAGAAGTTTGATTATCTTTTTCTATGTGGGAAAGCCCCGAGAAACTTCCCTGGAAATGACTATCAGTTATAGACGACTCAATATTATCTATTATGTTACATGTACCTAAATGTGTGTTTGGTGTATACGTATCTAAGTATCAGATTTATTAAATTAGGGTGACTTATAATTTTAAAATTGTTTAAAATTCTTCATTATTTTCTAGAATAAGAGGGAGCTTTTCTATAACATTGTAAGTTTGATATGGCTATATCGCTTGTTTTGGAGAAATAATGAAAAGAAGGAACATGCTGAGTGTTTTATGCACAATTGTGTAGAAATTTTGAATTATCGGATATGCTTGTAAGGTTCATGTCCAACCAGACATGGGAGACACGTCCTATACCCATAGTTACATGTTCAAGTAAGACTGTCTCAGTATTATAGCAGACCTAGATCTGTCATAAACAGTTGTAACTACATTCAAATAAAGGGGCAACGTAACTAAACCCTTTGTTTATTCAGAATGTAATGAGAACATTGAAGATTTCTCCTATAAATAAAGTGGTGCTTTGTATTAGGATTGCATTGCTATTGAATATTAAGGTCACTGGTGAATTACCAGAAAGCTTCTAGCATTATCTCTTAGTTTCTGAATTATTGAAATTTTAATAAATGAAACCCACCTGCTGTTGAAAGTACCTTAATTAATGAGCCATACCCAACTCCAATGCTTTACTGTTGTGTTCGACATTTGTGTGATATCTGCCATCTTTTGTCCTTTATTATATAGAACATTCTGGAAACTGTGTTCTGACTGAACTTCTGTGTGTCATGACTATCTCTGCACTACACTGAAAATGCCGGGCAATAAATGTTCCTTTTAATTTTTAATTTGTAAATATTATGCATTTCTATAGATTTTCTTCTCATAAAGGCATTTAAAAGTAGAGAATTTATTTGCTGCCATAATCTTATATGTTGATGAAATTGCAATAATTTTGCTGAAGTTTTATTTTGTTAATTTTTTTATAAATTGTTCTTTTATAGCAGAGTATGTTAAAAAGTTTGAATTACAATTTGATGATAATTCGTCACTGAATTTGTTTTGAGATTACTTTACAGGTCGCTGCATATTCAGATGGCCATGTGAAAGTTTATGAGCTTTTAGATCCCTTGGAACTGACAAATTGGCAACTTCAGGTAATTATTTATCTTATGCCACCTTGTTGCTCTATTGTGTGGCAGCTCAACTGATAAATTTGTTAGAGATAATAATCTTTGTTATCTTAAAAAGTTTTTGTTTCATTTTTGTATTAATAATTTGATCAATTTCTTTGTCTTATCATTGAAATCTTTAAGCATATGCATTGAGCATTTTTCATGTTTTTTTCCCCCCTCACATTCTTATCTCTTTTTCCCCCCTAAATTTCTGTTCCCATGTTTCTTGATTTTCACTACTGAGTTTTTTTTGCTCAATGCAATCAAACTATGAATGAAGGTGGCCGTTTTGAGTCCTGCTCCTGGTGCATTTAGATCATATATGAGCTGTTTCTGTTATGTCTATTTGAGTTTGCTTAATGCTTGGCTTCTCATATGCATTATACGTCCTTAGCTCTTAAAGAAACTGATTATCTTATTTACTTGCCTTTGTAGGCTGAATTTCAAAATTCTATTGACTCAGTATCAAAATTTGGAAAGGCTTCATGTTTGTCTGCATCCATCTCTTGGAACCCAGTAAGAGGTGAAAACCAGCAATCAAGCTTTGCTCTGGGTTTTAATTCGGATATGCCAGAACTCAATTCCTCCAAGGTGTGCTAATATTTGCATGTCTTACATCCTTCTCATAAGATTTATGTTATAAGTTGTGTTGTGGGTTTTTTTTTTGTTAATTGTTTAATTTTTATAGTCGGCAACTCTGTGACTCTATGTCTCTGCTTATTTTTTTTTTTTTTGGAGGGGCTGATGGGTAAAGAAGTACTCTTATTTATTTATTTTTTATTTTATGAGAATGGTTTGAGGTCAGTGTCACTATTTTTCCATCACAAAAGAAAAAAGGATTAAAACAGGCAGAGGGTCGACCATATAATGGGTATGTGAAAGTGGTGTATAAGAACAAATAGAATAATGAGTTCCTTTGCTTTCCGTAGTGGAAGACCGTGAGCCTCACTAGTGCAAATACCTTGATAGTTATCTTATTTGGCAAAATTTCATATTTCAGATTTTGTGTCTTTTGATATTTTTAGTTACCCCTTTCATCCATGTTGTAGCTACAGCTAGGATTTGTTGCGCTTTGCTTCTGCAATCAATAATTTTTTTTTTTTTTTTATAAGTTGTCTGCAATCATTTTTTGCCCTTAATTGACATGAATTATAGTTGAAAATTAGTTGATGTCTTAAAATATTTAAAAATTTTGCTCTGTGAACTACTATAAAACATGCTACAACTAGTGTTAGAAATATTTAAAAAATTTGCAAAGTGAACTACTATAAAACATGCTACAACTAGTATTAGAACATACTTAAATTTAGACAAGGATATCTTAGTTGATTCGGATTGTGGAAGTTCTTGCTGTGCTACTACAGTGTAATTTCTGAAATGATTTAGAACTAAGCATGTTCTCCAAGTAACATGATTTACTTAATCTCATATAGAGTTCCACAGGTTTGGGAATTTGATCAGGATCATCAAAGATGGCTTCCAGTTGCAGAGTTGGCATTGCCTGGGGACAAGGGAGATCAGGTTTACTCTGTTGCATGGGCACCGAACATTGGCAGGTGAAATGCTATCTTTTCTCTCATATAATGCATTTCTTAAAGTTACTTGTTGAGACCAAAGCCTTCTGATAGTACATGCTCGATATTTCATTTCTAGAATATGGTGAACAGAAATTGCAAAAAGTATTGACCTGTGGACTGTAATCTGTGGGGACAGATTCTGCTTGGGGCAGTCATCACCCCTGATAATTTTATTTATGTTTTGTTAGAGAAAGCAATTATACATTATATTGAACTTATTAGAAAGTGAACTTGCATGAATAACTGTCATTCAGGCCATACGAGGTAATAGCTGTTGCAACTTGCAAGGGAATTACAATATGGCATCTTGGATTGAACCCTGAAGTTGATGGACGGCTCTCAGTGGACAAGGTTGCATTGCTTTCCGGTCACAAGGGCGAGGTATGACTTACGAGTCTGAAATTTTAACTTTAGAAGATTTTATTTATTACCAATCTAAATACAATGACTATAGCCATGATTTATTGACATTAGGGACTATTAGGGAAGGGTCTGGGAATGCCGTAGAAATGGAAATTTCCCTTGTTATTTTATATTTTCGTGAGGTTCAATCCATCATTGGGATGGACTAATTACAAAAAAAGTTGAACAAAATGATTAAAAAAGTATGGTGTCACGACCAAATGATGATTAGAAATGTAAATGACATTATCTCATGAATTTTGAAACGCGTGACTGGATGCATGTGCACGTGTCTATGACCCTGCCTAGACACATAGCCCTAGGGTGAAGACACTCTACCTATACACATAGTTCTAGGAGGAGGTCTCATTTCCAATACTTTTGAGAGGCAAGGGCTTCATGTCAACTGGTACGTGACTTTGTGCAAGACTGTTACATCTATTGTTAACGCGAAGTTTGAGAGGTGAGAGAGAGAGAAGGGGGTTGGTTAGGCTGTGGTTTTGTGGTGGTTTATTGACTGTTTTAATTCATTTTGTGATTAGGTGTGGCAGATGGAGTGGGACGTCAGTGGAATGACACTTGCAACTACTGGTAGTGATGGAATGGTGAAGTTGTGGCAGTCAAATTTAAATGGTGTTTGGCATGAACAGGCTGCATTTGAACCTACCACGTAGCCCTAGACCGCCTCATTCTCGTCTGAATTGAATGTGCAACAGTGATCTTCTCTACTGTACTTATTTGTTAAGAATACATAGTTTCTGTATTGTGGTTTTGCAGCTCACATTTGTGACTTTCAATTTTGATTAAGCTGTAGCATTTTTCTGCTTGCTAGGAAAACTATTTTGTTGGTAAATTTGGAATTTCAGCGCAATGATCAATTTACAACTTTATTTCTTGGCCGTTCATTTTTCCTGGTTTGTGATTTGTTCATCCTTTCCCTATTTGGTGCTCTGATGGACCTCTCCCAGGATACATAACATCTGAAAATTCAAAAAATTGTTGCACTGCCATGTCCACAATTTTCTGCTTATACCATAATTTCCACCCTGAAACATTTTGCATTTCAGGCTTTCCAAATGAACCAACATATTTCCAAAATTTTGGGGATAATTGCCCCCTTTTTTTTTTTTCTTTTTTTTTCCCAACAATTCAATTCATCATCAAGAAGACCAGAAACCAGTGAATAGATGTGGAGGACGAAGAGCACGAGCGAGTTTTGAATCCAGGATTGCACAGCAGCTATCCATCTTTGAGGAGGACCTCTTTAGCTGCTAAAAGATTATTCCATAACCAAGATGGATTATGATTTATGCCCCTTCTCCCATCTCCAAAAAATTGGAAAGTAGAACATATTTGAGGAGCTCGTATCAAATGGATATAAAATAAAATTTAAAATTAAACTTTTGTTAGAATTGATAAACTTTAATATTAATGAATTGAAATGAATTTCAAATAAAAAAATTCTCTTAAAATTTCAAATAAAAAAAAAAATCAAATTTCATTTTAATATATTACGAGTATCAAGGAGACACCAACAGTGGCCAAGTGATAGCCAATGCGAAGCTCATACCAACTCATCCAAGCCACCGGGGACTTCAACCTTAAATATTAGTATTATATTAATAACAATTTTTTTGTAATCTATCACATTTACTTCTTGATATTGTCATTATGACCCTCCCACCGTATATATAAGCATATAATCCTCTTTCTTAACATTGTCTCTGTAACCCTTACAGTATATATAGCATCCTATCTCCTAAATGAACCGCTAGTATTCATTATAATGAATGACTTAAATTTATCTCTATAAAGCTTCATGTTCTTCTAGAATTCACTCAAATATACAAATATTTATAAAGTCTACCAAACTCTCAAATCAAAACTTAACCTCTCAATTGGTTCCATTAGAAGAAGAAAAAGCATTTCACATCAATGAAAAAAAAAGAAGAGCTCTAGTAAGGTTTGTGTTACGAGAGGTTTAGGTTATATATAGGTTATTGTCTCGTTAAGAAACTTTTGGCAAAGGGCCACATTGTCCATGCAACACCGATTTTGTTGCAGACATCATTTAAGTGTTATTTCAAGTTGATATAGTTAATGAGTTTGAAACAGCATGGTGCCAATTTGGAGTAATTATCACATGATCCAATGTTATATGGTACCGGTCAATTACAACTTGATACACAGTAAAAATCTAAATAAAGTTAGACACATTTACTTACATGTTGTGTCGAGTTGTGATCGACTGAGGCCACCTAGTCTCCCAGATAAAATTTTGTTGTCAATTTGTTTTCCATGTAGCCACCCCAATACAAAACAAGATCGATTGCTCCCATGAGTTATAAAATGTTCTAACGGACTTTATTCGGTCTAAATTAAAATTTTGAAAAATACAATTAAGCAGTAAAAAAATTGTAAAAAAAAAAATGTTATAAAATAGATTTAAAAATACTTTAATTGTGATGTATAATATATATATCATCAAATACCTAACAAATAAAAACTATAGTTTAATAATACTTGATTTTACAAAGCTTGAGAATTTGAGATTTATATATAAGTATGATACGAAGAAGATGTTAGATGACAGTTTGAGTGTGGAAGGCGATCTGGAGAGCTCTCCATCAAGTCATCAACTAAAAATCAATTGGTCACTTCTGCTTTAGGCGTTAGATGCAATAACAATATGGCTCATAATTTTAATTACAAGGAAAACTAGAAAAAGGCCTGAGTGCAATTTCTTACATGTGTGGTCAAGATTTATTTATTTATTTTCTCTAAATAACTCAGGGAAATTACAAATTTTGTAGAAAATAATAATATTTTTTTTCTTTCTAAAAAATGAATTAAAAAATTACTTGTTTAAAAAGATGGTCTTTAACTGCCTTCTGAACTCTCTAATAAATGGTAAAATGATCTTATTAGCTACTGACCTTCTGATAAAGGCCTAAAACATTCAGGCTCAATCATAGTCTTATGTATTTTGGGCCAAATTGACCGGCCCAAGATACTGAAATCAGTCCATGAATGTGGGCTTGTGGACCCCAAATCAATATAAAAATCTTTAAAAGTCATCGGATCTGACAGTCCCGATCTCCTGGCATCTTTGATACTGATGATAAGAAGATTAATTGACCATCTGGTATTTTAATTCTTGTGTAAACTGTTTACTGGGAAAAATGGAGAAAAAAGCTTTTTTAAATGATGATTAATTGTGTGCAACCTCTTTTGTAAGAATTCCATTTTTCTGGGTTCTATCTTTTTTTTTTTTTGGGCAAAATTTCATGAATTTGTTTTGGGTCTTAGTTCTAGTGTCACGTGGCACTTTGAGAAGTGAGCTAGCCATCTCTATTTGGTTGCTGAGAAATTCAAAGAAGAGGAATAAAATTTTTTTTGTCAGTTTATAAAGTAACTGTTTTTTTAAAGTCCTCGTTGCGAGGTCTGGTTATCCTAATTAATCGGATGGCTCGGATATTTTTCGGATCGGATGTTTGGTGTGGCATCAGATCGGGATTGGTGTCTGGCTCTAATACTAACTATAACGAATGAGTGTTTCACGATTCGATCCAAAAACTTAACTATTAGGTAGGACTAACACCCAACCCATTTATGAATAGAAAGTGATATGTATATATATGTAAGAAAGTGTAAGAATTCTAGAGAGAGAAAGAGGAGAAGGAATTTCTTGCATCTTCAATTGGCGCCGTCTGTGGGGAACGCATGGAAGTTTGGTTGATCAATGAGGAATATCGAATGGATTCAAACCAATTCGGTTGATCGAGACTCAATCTTTGGGATTTGAATCCAGATCTGAGTGATTGTGACCTACTCTGGAGGAATTACAATTCTTGAAGCTTTGGCAGGAGTGACTTCAGATCTACGCAACAACGAGTTGTTCGATTGTGGCAGGATCTGACGGATTTAGAGTTCAGACAATTCAGATCTCGTAAACAGTGAGCATAATTCGGAGAATTAGAAGCCAGATCTAAAAATTCCTACTCACGAAGCTCGGATCTACTCACGAACTTGAGATTAATGCCTTTACTCCGTTCGGGAATAATGATAGGTGAAAGCTCCAATCCGATGGAGGCTGTCCAGCAAACAAAGCTTGAGGAGTTGATGAACTTGATTGAAGCTCTCAAAAAAGAGAATGCAGAATTGAAAGCTGGACTGCAACATCGGCAAATACCTGCGGTTTCGCATCCACTTCCAGTCGGAGAAGGAGGTGTTCAATCTAATATCGCGCATCAAGGCGAACAGGACGAGAACAATCAGTCAGCTCACCACCGTGATGAAAGGATGATGGACAATTTGCCGCCAAATGTTCGTCGAGTTGAAGATCACGAAGGATCGACTCACGTTGATCCGCAGCGGGAAAGGTTCGACCGAGAGGAAGTGATGGAGGCTGATCGCCGTCGAATAGCGTCGCCTTGGCAAAGAGAGTTCATAGAGGAACGGTCGTTCGATCCGTCTTACCGGCCCTCCATGGTTACTATCACTCATCACGGTTCGGACGGCAGAACCGTAACTCACAGAGCTACCGCTGGACTCCAGAGAGAGAATGAAGCTCTCCGATCCGCAGCTCGGACGGTGGATTCACCATTCACCGACGAGATCTTGAATGCCCCGCATCCAAGGAAGTTTGCTATGCCAGTCTTTATTCTGTTCGACGGAACGACCGATCCGATCGATCATGTGTATCATATCCAGTTGAAAATGGCCCTGAATACGGAAAACGACTCTTTAATGTGCAAATGTTTCCCTACAAGCCTGGCCGGACCGGCGCTCAGCTGGTTCAAAAACTTGCCTAGGAGCTCCATTGGTAGTTTCAGAGACCTGTGCGATCGGTTCATAAGCCAGTACTATGGGAACAAACGCCCGCCGAAGGACATCTCGAGCCTATTCACGATGAGGCAGCACAAGGATGAACGTCTCCAGGCCTTTCTTACCAGGTTTAATCTCACTAAGAGTATGGTGATCGAATGCCACCCTTCTACGGCAGTTCAAGCCTTCAAGTTAGCCATGACACGCGGAACTCCGTTTCACACCAGTCTGGTAGTGAACACGCCGACTACTATGGATGAACTCAATGAGAGAGCCGATGGCTTTGTGCGCCTAGAAGAAGAGGAGGCAGCTAATGCTCGGACAACGTCGGTTGTGTCGACCGAGGAAAAGTCCAAGGCAAAGATCAGGCAGAAGCAGGCTCAGCCGCAACGTCAGACCTCTTGGAAGGCAGAAAAAAGGTCCAGGGAGGAAGAGTTGATTACTCCGCTGAAGGTCACTCTGGCGAGGCTGTATCAGGAGAACAAAGACAAGTTTCATCCACCACTGCCAATTAGGCAACCCCTCGAACAGAGGGATCAAACTAAACATTGTGCTTTTCATTCTGATTTCGGTCATCAGACTAACGAATGCAGGAACCTGAGGAGGCAAGTGGAGATGTTGATAGCTAGAGGGGAGTTCGCGAGTTATGTTCAAGGTTCGGCGATGGAGCAGAATCGACCGGTGGAACAAATAAAAAGGAGTCATAAACAAAGCTCCCACAATTCACAACCAGTTCGTATAATCAATGCTATCCATGGTCGACCCGAGCCTAGTGAAGAGTCAGATGAGCTGCTCCGGGTGCGCCTGCGGCAGGCGCAGATGAAGAAAAGGGTCGGCAATGTGACTACTCTACACCAGCAGAGCCCGTCGATGCAGATAAAGTTCGACTGGACAGACCTGCAGCGTGTTCAACTGCCTCATGACGACCCGTTGGTAGTCAGTTTGACAGTGGCAGATTGCTTGGTGCGCAGAGTTCTGATCGATCCTGGGAGCAGTGCGAATGTCATGCCGAGGGACACATTTGACAGGCTCGACATTAAACCAGAGAGGCTCAAACCCACCGGAAATCCCTTGTTAGGGTTCGA